GGGACTATGATGGGGAGGGGCTTATGATGGGGGTGGGACTATGATGGGGAGGGGCTTATGTTGGGGGTGGCCCGTTAGTGTAGCGGAGCATTGGATGGAAGGAGCGGGCAAAGTTGTTGGAGAGAGTGCAGCGGTAGTCGTCCTCGGAAAGGGGCACCAGGCAGGCCAGCACCAGCAGCAGGAGGAAGAGCACGTGCAGGGGGAAGGCGGCACGCAGCACTCGCTGGAAGAAGGACCGCGGCGGCGACTGGTCACGTGCCTGACCCCTGGTGGGCAAGAGAAGAAAGGCATGAAGGATTTTCCCAAATATCCATCCATCTTCTAACCATTTATCATGGTCAGGGTTGTGGGACCAGACAGTTCAATTCTTTCCTATTCCTATTCCCTCATTCTCTAAATACTGCTTATGCAAATTTGTATCATTAAATGTGCTGCGGAAATTATAATACTAATTTCTTACTGCCAGTAATAATAAAAGCAACCATGCAGTCAGGCTTGAACCAACAACCTTCAGGTTACAAGCACAGAGGCTTAGCCCACTGAGCCACCAACTACCTCTATAGCTTATTTCCTCATAATAAAGGCAAACGTGGGCATCTGTCTTTAAACATTTTAATTTAACTTGACCTCTAGGTGAAGGGGGTGACGGTGGCTAAAACTGCTGCCTCTCACCCCTGAGACCAGGGTTCAAGTCCCTGCCCCCCTCCCCCAAAATACATGCTGAGGTTAACTGGAGTTAATTAGACCCCGAATAAGACAAGCGGTCACAGAAAATGACTGCTTAAAAATTGTCACAGAAAATTAACTGACACTTTTATAATTGATCCCCATGGGTAGGGTGACCAGATAATCCATGTCAGGGAGGACACTTTGAGCTACTTCAGGTTTTGCAAACTACTTTCAAATAGAAAGGCTCCTGTGCTCGGCTAAATAGTTCAGTTCTTCTTGTGCTTTTACTGGTTTGTTTCCTTGACTGAAAGACTCATCCAGCTGTTTCACATTAGCATTAGTGACACATGCATGATTATAGGAGACTGACCAATCAGCACACAGCAAGAGCTCAGTGCTCAAGTGAAATCCAGGTCCTTTTAATTGAAATGGTAATTTACAATTCTTGTCCTGGCTCAGAGTGTCCTCCCTGACATGGATTATCTGGTCACCCTACCCATGGGGAAATTCCCTTTTCACCTCCCTTATCATGCTCCACATCAGAACAAGCTGGCCATGAAGCCACCCAGACAGCAGAAGGGGCCACAGCTGTGCCAAGGCTGGGCTTGAACCAGCAACCTTCCCCCTACAGAGATGGCCACACCCTGCCTCACACACTCACTGCCTCTAATAACAAAAGCAAATGCAGGCATTTTGTCTTTTCATATTCAAACTTTTATTTTATTCTTGGGCCTGTAGATGGAGGAACAGCACAGTGGTTAGCACTGCTGCCTCATGCCTCTGGGAGCAGGATTCAGATCTCAGGAATGGCTCCATGGCTGTGGAGTCTGCATGTTCCCCCCGTGTCATTGTGGAGTCTGCATGTTCCCCCCGTGTCATTGTGGAGTTTGCATGTTCCCCCCGTGTCATGGTGGAGTCTGCATGTTCCCCCCGTGTCATTGTGGAGTCTGCATGTTCCCCCCGTGTCATTGTGGAGTCTGCATGTTCCCCCCGTGTCATGGTGGAGTTTACACTGGGTGCTCTGCTCTCCCCACACAGGCCAAAATCATGCAGAGGTTAATCAGAGGTACCAAACTGCCGTTACAGGGTTAGCAGCCGGCTGCTGTGAGATTCTCAGTTCAAGACCGGTCTACACATGTGCTTACGTACACGTAACAGTTTAATTGCCTTGTAAATATTTTGTAGGGCTTGCAAACTACCCCAGTGCTTTTGATGTAGCTAATTTTAGGTTTATAATGGAATAATATAGATTTGCCGTAAAAGGGAGTGAGAGTATGAAAGCAGTGTCATGCCAGATGCGTAATTGTTGGCAATCCTGGCTCCGTTCAATCGTCTCAGAACTTCTATCAAACTTTCCAAATGCAACTGATAGTAATTAATGGACGCAAAGGCTTCCAGTGAATCAACAATCAGACAAAGCTCCGCTGATAATGTAACAAAGTAACATACTGTACTACTCAGATATTACTTGAGTCAATGCAGTCGGTCTAGTAAAAGCGGGTCTACGGTCAGAGCTTATTTCCTGTCCTTTAGAAGTAATATTCTCTGGTCTAGTGTAGTGATCAACAAAATATGTCAGTGAACGGATTTAAAAGACTATAATGGGAATTGATCTGGCATGAGATTTCTTATGTGAATGTGAGAGCGTGAGATTGATCCTGAAATCATGTTATGCCAGATGTGTTGGCAGTCCTGTCTGTGTGACTGAATGATGTGAGTGTTGCTGCATTCCATTTGAAATTCCGAGTTCCAAGTCAAAAATTTCACCTGGAAATGTCAGGGAAAGTCAGAATTCTGACTGGTGAAGTCGGAGGAAACGACACGACGCTGAGCTCAGAATCCAAGACGGCCGCGCCCTTTATCAACACACAATACTGTCCAACTTATCTGTGGACGTGTTGCTATGGAGTTTTATGTGCAGAACACCATGTAATGTGTTGTTGTCAATTGGTATTGCTAACAATGGCTAACAATTAACTGGGATAGAACTGGGTCCAGATTTAGTAAGCAGGATTTCTTGCTTAAGCAGACAACTTGTCAGATTTAAGGTAGTCTGGGCTAATTGTAAGTGAATGAAGATAAAGGCCATTTAAACTGAGATACCTTAAATCCGACAAGTTATCTGGCTAAGCAAGAAACCTTGCTTTTTGAAATGGGTCCCTGGTATTGTTAGATGGCGTTCTGATGCTGTTAACTCATGTGTGACATCACTCCCAGTTCTGAGTTCCGACCTCCGAGGTAAACGGAGGCTCTGTGCTGCGATAGGTTGGTGCCCCATCCTAGGTTGTTCCCTGCCTTGTATCTGTAGCCTGAGAGATGGGCTCCAAACCGCCCGTGACCCTACAAATTGTTACAGAAAATGGATGGATGGATGGATGGATGGAGGAATGGCCCCCAGGGTGCGGGCCCCCCAGGCCTGGAGTTTGACACCCCTGGTTTACACCTAGTATATCAGAAAATAACAGCGTGTTTGGCTGACATTTTAATATTTGATTCTCCCACGCTGATTCCTGAAGTGAAACAGAGCAGGGATCTCAAACAGCAGGTTGCCCAGGCAACATAACAGGGCCTCACCTGGTCGCCTCCGGGGGGGTCCCTTCAGCTGCCAGCTCGCCCCCCTGTTCCTGGAATCACAAAGTAAGCTACAGTCACTCACATGCACACAGGGACTCAAACGCTAATAATGAAATCGACACTGGAAATGTTACTGGGATCTGAGTCTGGCAGCTTCTTCAGCTGCTTCTGACCGTGTTCTGACACAGAAGTCGATTAATCTTCACTGCAAGTTTTAGTCCTTCTTAATGTCTATGTCTCTACGCTGTGTAAACATGCCCCACATCATCTCTCATCTAGGTCTTCCTCCATACACATTAGGAGTCAATAAAGAGATGTTCAGAAGACCCCACATCAAGCAGACAGACGCACTAAAAAGTTCACAGTGTTTACAGTGTGGAAAAGCCCCCAAAGAGAGGATCACAGCTACGTCGCCAAACCTGATCTGAGCATTACTCTCTACTCTACTAATAGTACAATATCTACTACCAATAACATAAAACCAACTATGGAGCAAAAGTACACTGCACAAAGTTACGTTTAACAGTAGTGCAGACTATGGATCTACAAACTCAAACATAAACTGATGGACATGAAAAGTGGATTTTATCAGGTAGGTACTGATGACTCTCTAGGTATACTGAATGTTTGAGAAGATAGCATGGTGACTCTAGATCCACTGTAAGGAGAACCACAAGTACAAAGAGCATGCATGTTCTCCTCGGACAGAATCTTCCAGAGAAAAGGAAAGTTAGATGGCACTTGAGGCATCTGGGACAGGCATTCTTGGGAGCAACTTTCATGTTTATTAGGGTGGACACATACTGTAATCCTTGTTGGAGGGGGGAGGGGTGGGGCACTTTGAGCTACATCAGGTTTTACAAACTACTTTAACTGAAAGGCTCCTGCACTTGGCTAAATAGTTCAGTTCTTCTTGTGCTTTTACTGGTTTGTTTCCTTGACTGAAAGACTCATCCAGATGTTTCACATTAACATTAGTGACACATGTATGATTATAGGAGACTGACCAATCAGCACACAGCGAGAACTCAGTGCTAAAGTGAAATCCAGGTCCTTTTAATTGAAATTGTACTTTACAAATTCTGTCCTAGCTCAGAGTGTCCTCCCTGACATGGATTATCTGGTCACCCTACATTTATGTATTTTTGCCAAAACAACTATATACAAAAAAACGCATCATTAATAAATGTATGATTATCACTTTTTGTCCAATAAGCACCCAGGAAAAGCTTAAGCATAATCAGAACTGCAAAACTGCAGTGGAAGGCTGTGGTGGATTCACTGCATTTTGATTTTTTTGTCTTGCAATGACACACCAGATTATGGACACTTATGGGCCCAGTCACATGCCCAGTCAATGCTTATAAAATCTGCAAATCTTTCACTGCAAAGGCCAGAGTATTTGGGCAAGGACTGCAGAGGGGGACCCATGGAATAAATGACTCTTTTGAAACATTGCTAAAAAGAAAAAAACGTAAATGAAAATAACAAGCCTGTGATGAAGCATAACTCATCACAATATAATTTATACAGACCCAAGACCAGGAAAACTGCAGATAATCACACTCTAGCTTTCATCTTCTTCAGTAAACAACAAATAACATTTCCAGTTTCCAACTGTCTCGCCATAGCAATCTAATAAGTACATTTTGATGCACATTAGCATTGTCCGTTAATTGGTCTGTACAATGTGGAAGCTCATTAAGCACTAAGTCTTTTCACTGCTTTTAACTAACAAGTAAATGTAAAAGATATCAGCCCATGAAGGTGCTCTGGGGACGGCACACTGCCCCACAGCAGAGACCGGCGGCGGGAGGTCTGTACCTCTCCCTGCTCGCCTGGGACATCAGCTGCCGGTTCAGGAGGAGGACAGGAGACCTGCAGGGAAACAATGTCACTGAGAGCTTCCAGTGACCGAGGACCAGGGCTGTATACAGGGAGGGGCCACAGGGGCGGAGCCACAGGGACTCTAGCCCCCTCCCCTGTCACTCAGTGATTCAAAACATATCATTGGCTAATGATAAGGCTGCCCCCGCTTTATGAATTATAAGTTCATGCCCCCCACCTTTCTTCCTGTCTAGCACATGCATATCTGCTCAGGTTGGGGTGCCTTCTAGCAGCACGCAGATGTTCCATGCGGAGACATACGCACCAGGCGCTCCTGCAGCACGTGCAGATCATCATCCACATGCTGCAGCAGAGCGTGCAGCTTCCTGCTCACGATGTGCACTTTGTCCCGGGCCTCTGCGTACTCCTCCTCAGCCATGGCCGCCTCCGGCAGCAGCTGGGATGAGATCTCCTGCAGGGACTCCACCTGCTGCCGGCGGCTGAGGAGCTCCCCCTCCAAGCCCTGCCACAAGGGGGCGTGACACCTCCGTTAGCATGGGCGGGCGTTGTGCTGTACCATACGCACCTAACCCTACTGTGATATGACATCGATGTATGTGGTATAAACAGAAGTATTGCTGAAAAATAATACAAGTACACTTTGTATATCCATAATTATAAAAAGGCTACAGTGAAATTTTCCTTAATCAATAGAAGTGGTTATTCTAAAAATCTAATTTTGGATGCCTTTTATTGAAGCCCAAAGGGGCGCCATTGAAGAAGTTATTAAGACGGATCAGCAATGAGGTGAAAACTCCAGATACTGGGGAGCACCAGAGAAATGGGTGAAATCTGTGCCATATTGGAGGAAAAGGAAGGTCTGACAAGTAAGAATGTTCTCAATACGCAGAGACCATGAGCCACACTGGGGAGTAAAGTATCGCATCAGAAAGGAAAAACTGAAGCCCCTCCCCAGTCACTCCAGAGCCTGTCCCCTCCCCAGCACCCCCCCCCCCTCGGAGCCCCTCCCCCAGAGCCCCTCCCCCGTACCCTGAGATTGGCCTGCTGCTCCAAGAGGGCCGTTTGGCTCAGGTCTGGGTCCTGAATGTCCACTGGGAAGCGTCGGCTCTCGGCATGAGCCAGCCACAGCAGCAGGGAGTGCAGCGCCGCGTGGAATTCCTGAGGGGGGGGGGGGGGGGGGGGGGGGGGGGGAGGGGTAGTGGGCATCAGCATTTGCACTTTTGCATATTATTAAAACAAAAACTGTGGCACATACTATGTGAAAAATTCTACGCAAGTTATTCAAAATGTTTCGGGGTGGAGAGATGGGGTTTTTGTTGTTTGAGGCATGAGTTTTATTGAGTGTCATCTGTCAGGGTTCATTAAAACGCGCATGTTGGCACCTGTACCACTAGGGGGCAAACTGGTTAAAAATAGGTTAAAGGATGATGGCTCTGCTGGTGAACCTTCAAAGAGGTGACGGCTCCCTTAAAAGATCAAGCTGTAGAAGTAGTTCGATATTTATAGAATTTTTTTCAATCAGATGATATATACAGTACATGGTACCTCAGTTCTCAAACTCATTAGAACTCGAATTTCTTAAAAGTCGAACCAACCAGTTTGAAAAAAAATTACCTAGGACTCGATTTGAATCTCAGAAGTCAAACCGTGAACGCCAACCTAAGATATGAGTCACGCGGCACATCTCAATAAAAAATTACAGGTAAGGCAGGCAAAACGCAGATGGACAATACAATGACCGGGCTGGGGAAACAAACTGAAACGTGGACAAAATACAGAGGACTAATGACAGCAACCAGAAACTGTTGATCACATGGGGATTCCACACGGTGTTAACGAAGGGGCGTGGCACACGGAAGGAGCGGACGATCAGGGCAGGACACGTTGTTTTTTTTTACTTTACACATCGTTTGGATAAATTGGACAAATTACTCAAACTCTTTAGGATTCGATCCGGAGTTCTGAACGAAAAGTTCAAGTTCTGAGGTACCACTGTATATAACATTACAGTGAAAACCATGAGGTCCTCAAAACTCCTTCCATGGGAACATCCTCCCAGCACAGAGGAGCAGCGCACCCCCCAGTAGACAGTGAGCGCACGCGGCGCCCCCTACCTGACACCACAGCAGGGCACTGCGCAGATCCGCCTCCCAGGCCTCCAGGCTGGCGCAGGCCTCCTTCCAGCCCTGGTTCACGCTACACAGCGCCTCCTGCAGGCCATGGGGTGCCACAGGCTCGCTCTGCTGGAGCTCCCGCGCCCTCAGGTTGGCCGAAATAATCATTGTTTTGTAGCTGGCGAAGGTGCTCTGCATTTCCTGGATGTGGGGGGGGGGGGGATGTAAGTCTATATACAGACCGAACGTCAGAAGACATCTACTGGGCTCCTCACATATCAAATGTAGATCTATCCTCATAGAAGAACTACACACCACAGCAGTGTGGATTTCACCCTCTAGGATTCATTATAGATCTGGACTGTCAGTAAAAATAGCCATCCTTCTTAGTGCAGTACAGTAATACTCCAGTTAAAGGTTCTGGGTCAGTACACTCAGAACAAAAATATAAGAACAGATGATGAAAGCAAACATGCCCCAATAAACAAAAATAATGAATTACAAACAGCTCATTACAAACATACGACTGATGAGGAGGTGACTAGTCCCAAGTGCAGCTAGGGTGAGCTTCCAGTGAATGACCAGGAATCAGTGTAAGCAGCACTGGAGCAGGAGCTACACAACATCTACCAGCAAAGCAAGAACCTAATGAGATGAGGAAAAACTACCCAAGTGTTTGACTATTCAAATCAAAAGGCAAAGTGCAGCGGTATGATCCTTCAGGAACATGGTGATGTTCCCGGAACAGACAGGTCAGGTGGGATTGCTGTTCTCTGTCCGCTGTTCTCTGTCCGCTGTTCTCTGTCCGCTGTTCTCAGTCTGCTGTTCTCAGTCCGCACACAGGTATAGCCACTGAAGCCTACAGGATGCAGACATGCTGAGCACATGGGCCTGGCGGAGAACGCGTGTCACCTTCAGCTGCCTGACGTGAGCTTCCATGTCCTGCACGCTGGCGGATGGCTTGCTCCTCTTCAGCCGCTCCAGCTCGCACTGCACCTGGCCGAGCCAAGCAGCCACGCTCTCCAGGTCAGAGGTCAGCTGCTGCTGCCCCCTCAGGTCGTGGCCAGCCTCTAATTCGACGCCCCTTGCCTGCGCCTGCAGCAGCTCCCAGCGTTTGATCACTCCTGTGCAGACACTAGGGCTCAGCTCCAATTGGTCGAGGCCAGTGTCAATGAGTATTGAGCAGCCAATGTGGAAGGTGAGGCGGGCCTTACCCGACTGCTTGTCTGCAGCACTTATGCCAGTGAGCCCCACGTCGTCTGGATGCTCGGGGCTGTTCAGGATCAGCGATACCCTTTCCACGCTTGCCACAGTGCCACTGCACTCCGACATCAAGTCCACCTGTGGCCCAGGGCCAGACATCTACCATTAGGGAAGACTGGACTCTACTGAAGACTGACACAATGGGCACCACAGTAATCCACATAAAGATTACTGTCTTCCCTAGGTCTAAAAGGCCAGAAGAGTAATTCTGGTCTGTTCTGCCTTGATCAGTCTCAGGCCAGCAGAATCCCTCCTGTGGTGACCTTCATGCCTGCAATGTGCTTGTGTAGATGTTCTGTCTGTTGGTTTATGGGTATCTAACTTCTACACTGACTTGGTGAAAATAATCCTCCAAAAAATAAATGTGACTGCATGTCAAATTGCCAGCTTTGAAGCATGAGATGTCTCCTCCAAGCCACCAGGGGCAGCAGACTTACATAGCCTTCTTTAAAGGGTATACTGGTATCCAAGGGCCCAGAGGGCTGAGTGTGGCTGATGTCTGGATATGGTCCGCCCGTCTCCGTGTGTTCTGGGGTGTGCCAGCTGGCTTCTGTCACAGACCTCCCTGGAAGCCACAAAGGTGCGATCAGAGCTCGCTATCACACTGTCCATCACACACTGTCCATCACACACTGTCCATCACACACTGTCCATCACACACTGGTCCATCACACACTGTCCATCACACACTGGTCCATCACACACTGGTCCATCACACACTGTCCATCACACACTGTCCATCACACACTGGTCCATTCAAAGACAGTGCTTCACAAACATCAAGAGGTAGGTAGAGGAGCCATTATTACAATTAATTATCGCTCTGTCCATATCAATCTCTAGATTGTAAAAAGAAAAATGACTATTTCCAAGGTTTCTCTCAGAGTTTACTTATCTCACAATTAAATTTTATGGTTAATGTTCTACAACAACCTAGATGCGAAGATGAAAATTCAGAGAAGACCAATAAATTACTAGAAGGAAACATCAGCCAGATGAGTGACACTGTGAGCACGTGTACTTTGCTGAATAAGGTAGGAGCCCCCTAGCACACAGGCTGGGTACGTCGCAGGAGATGTGTGCTGTGAATGCAGTCTGACACAGGAGATGTGTGCTGTGAATGCAGTCTGACACAGGAGATGCGTGCTGTGAATGCAGCCTGACACAGGAGATGCGTGCTGTGAATGCAGCCTGACATAGGAGATGCGTGCTGTGAATGCAGTCTGACATAGGAGATGTGTGCTGTGAATGCAGCCTGACAGGAGATTTGTGCTGTGAATGCAGCCTGACAGGAGATTTGTGCTTTGAATGCATTCAACTGTGCTGTATTTCGGTGTTGGCTGTGTCTGTGTGTGTGCTGTATTTCTGTGCTGACTGTCTGTGTGCTGTATTTCTGTACTGGCTGTATCTGTGTGCTGCATTTCTGTGCTGACTGTGTCTGTGTGCTGCATTTCTGTGCTGACTGTGTCTGTGTGCTGCATTTATGTACTGGCTGTGTCTGTGTGCTGCATTTCTGTGCTGACTGTGTCTGTGTGCTGCATTTCTGTACTGGCTGTGTCTGTGTGCTGCATTTCTGTGCTGACTGGGTCTGTGTGCTGCATTTCTGTATTGGCTGTGTCTGTGTGCTGCATTTCTGTGCTGGCTGTGTCTGTGTGCTACATTTCTGTACTGGCTGTGACTGTGTGCTGCATTTCTGTGCAGACTGTGTCTGTGTGCTGCATTTCTGTGCTGACTGTGTCTGTGTGCTGCATTTCTGTGCTGACTGTGTCTGTGTGCTGCATTTCTGCACTGACTGTGTCTGTATGCTACATCTCTGAGCTGACTGTGTCTGTGTGCTGCATTTCTGTGCTGGCTGTGTCTGTGCACACATTTGCAGCTCACCAGACAGAGCGCTATAGAAGGTCGCCTCCTCCTCTTCCTCCTCCTCTTTCCTCTGATGTGGCCCCACATCAACAGCGTGATCCCACTCCAGGGGAATGGATTCCACGCTGATGGGTGTGTCCCTGTCTGAGCGCTCCTGGGATATAGAGAGCAGACCCCCCCCCCGGGCAGGCCGCGTCTCCTCCTCCAGGTCCTCCTGCTGATGCTGCTGCTCCTGTCTGACCTAGGGGCATGGAACAGGGTTATACCGCCATGTGAACCAATCATCCTACCAGACCTGTCTTCACATTAACTGGAGTAGAGACACTGGAGAGAGTGTCAGCCCCATAGTCAGGGTGTGGCTCGGTCAGGACACTGTGCTGGTGATCGGAAGCTCACTGGTTCACACCCCAGTGTTGACAGAGTGATGTCACAGCTGGGTTCCTGAACATGACCCTTCAATAATATATGTTACTATGGATAAAAGCGTCTGCTAAAAAAATTAGATATCTATAAAGTGACTCAGCATCCATCCAGAACAGCTCCCAGTACTACCCAGGTAAATCTCCCACTCTGTGGATGGACCCACTTCTTGATTGAAATGTTTAGCTTTCACCTGAAAACAGTCCCACCACCATGCCCGTGAAGGTATGACCCCAGCCTGTAATTACACCCTGAACATGCAGTTCCACTGCTGACCTGCTGGGGGCTAGTGAGACGCTGATGGAAGCGGCCCACTCGACCGAACACCTCCTGGCAGTAGGAATGCAGCTCCTCCAGCTCATTCTCGATAGTCACGGCATCCGGCGCAGCGCTCTTCTGGATCAGGTTCTCTCCGAACACGATCAGCTGGTCGATCTTAGAGGTGTTCAGGGTGATCTCCTGTTGGAAGTCCTAGACAGGGAGACACAGGGATATCATAGAGTGGCCAAAGTAAAGAGCAGAGAGTTACACTGTACAGTGTTAATGAGGGCCAATCTGTGCACTTTCTAGTGTTAGTGAGAGCCCCAACTGTATACTGTGCAGTACTGCTGAGGGCATAGCTGTGTACTGTCCAGTGTTAGTGAGAGACCAACTGTACAGTATACTGTGCAATACTGGTGAAGGCACAGCTGAGTAATGTACAGTGTCAGTGAGAGCCCTGGTGTGTACTGTACAGTGTCAGTGAGGGCCCTGCTGTGTACTGTCTAGTGTTAGTGAGGCCCTGCTGTGTACTGTACAGTGTCAGTGAGGCCCTGCTGTGTACAGTACAGTGTCAGTGAGGCCCTGCTGTGTACTGTACAGTGTCAGTGAGGGCCCTGCTGTGTACCGTCTGGTGTTAGTGAGGGCCGTGCTGTGTACAGTACAGTGTCAGTGAGGCCTTGCTGTGTACTGTACAGTGTCATTGAGGGCCCAGCCAGGGTCCTGATTGGTGAAGGACTCACATTGAGCTGCCTCATCTTGTCCTGGACGTCGCTGTCACTGAAGTGCTCCACGGTGGTCAGCTGCAGGTCCATCTCGGTAAGCCACACCAGAAGCCCCTCCCGTATGCCCTCAAACTCCTCCCGCTGGCATGTAAAGTGCTGCGGGGAAGCGGGGGTGGGATCAGAGAGCCTGTTTTAGCGACATCGTTATTTAAGTCTTCTGCAATGTGGGAATTCTGGGAACCTGAGTTCTATTCACAAAGACAAAGAGGAGGAAAGGTGGACTGGCGGGGGGTGGGGCAGGATTACAGGAACAAAAATCCATAAGCAATGCACATGCAAGTGTCCTTCTTCTCTAGCATACAGGGCAAATGTATCTGAGTGACCCTTTATGAGCCTGTATAACAATATGCACGAAAGCACACAGGAAAGGAAGGACAGATGCAAACAATATTAGTCACCCTACCCCCCCCTCCCCCCAAGGAAATTGGCTGCTTATCATAAGAACATAAGAACATAAGAAATTTACAAACGAGAGGAGGCCATTCGGCCCATCAAGCTCATTTGGGGAGAACTTAACTATTTCCCATAATGACAAAGCAAAAAACAGCTTTTAGAAATCTTTGCAGGTTTAAAAACTGAACCGTCACATTAACATACGTATTCAGACTCTTCACTCAGTACTGAAGCACCTCTGACAACAATTACAGGCTTGAGTCTTTCTTGGTTTAGGATGGGGATTTTCTCTCATCCTTCTCTACAGATCTTCTGAAGCTCTCATTTTGGATGGGGACTGTCCCTGGGCAGCTATTTCCAGGCCTCTGCAGTGATGTTCGATTGCATTCATGTCTGGGCTCTGGTTGGACCACACAAGGACATTCACAGAGTGATCGTAAGCCACTCCTGCATTGTCATGCTTTGTCCTTAGGATCATTGTCCTGTTTGAAGGTGAACCTTCAGCCCTTTCATTAAGGATGTCTCTGTACTTTGCACCATTCAACTTTCCCACGACCCTGACTTATCACTGCAGCTAAATAACAATCCTACATCATGATGAGATCACCACCATGTTTCATTGTTGGGATGGTGTTCTGCAAATGATGAGTGGTGCCTGATTTCCTTCAGACATTGAGGTCAAACATTTCAATCTTGGTTTCCTCAGACCAGAGAATCTTGTTTCTCAGAGTCTGTGAGTCCTTTAGTTGCCTCCAAGCGGATTTTCATGGGTCTTTTACTGAGGAGATGCTTCTGTCTGGTCACTCCGTCATAAAGCCCAGACCAGTGCAGGGCTGCAGTGATGCTTGTCCTTCTGGAAGTTTCTTCCATCTCCACACAGGATCTCTGGAGCTCGGTTAGAGTGACCATCAGGTTCTTGGTCACCTCTCTGACCGGACGAGCAGCTCCAGGACTCTTGCTTGTTCCTACAGGCAATTCCTGCGACTCATGGCTCAGTTTTTGCTCCGATGTACATTTGTAAGCTTATACAAGCAGGTGATTCCTTTTCCAAACCATGTCCAGTCGAGTGAATTTACCACAGATGGACTCCAAACAAGGTGCAGAAATATCTCAAAGATGATCAGTCCCCAAAGGTGATCAGTCCCCAAAGATGATCAGTCCCCAAAGGTGATCAGTCCCCAAAGGTGATCAGTCCCCAAAGATGATCAGTCCCCAAAGGTGATCAGTCCCCAAACATGATCAGTCCCCAAAGATGATCAGTCCCCAAAGGTGATCAGTCCCCAAAGATGATCAGTCCCCAAAGGTGATCAGTCCCCAAACATGATCAGTCCTCAAAGATGATCAGTCCCAAAGGTGATCAGTCCCCAAAGATGATCAGTCCCCAAATATGATCAGTCCCCAAAGATGATCAGCAAAATTTTATGTGTCCTACCAAAGGGTCTGCATTTTTATGTCATTGTGATGTTTCAATTTCCAAAAGCTTCTAAAATCCTTCTAAAATACAACTGTCATTGTTGAAGATGGAAAAAATGTTTTTTTTTTTAATATAAGGCTGTAACATAAATTGTGAAAAAGGAGTCTCAATAATTTCTGAATGTACACGACAAGAACATCGCTACCTCACTCTGGTCAGTCTTGGGCATGTAGCATGAGGTCAGCGCTTCCCCTAAAACCAGTGATAACCTTTCTTGTTTTCCCCAAACCATTTAGCTCGAATAGTATTGTTTTAGCATTACAACCCTGAGACACTGGTACAAAAATGTGTAGAAGTCCAAAGAAAACTTGAGTAAAACCTGCCATACGGTGTTGTGGCTTTAACCTCATTAACCCAATCACCTCAGTCAGTGATAGGCTGGTTGGAATTACCCAAGCTGCACGCGATTGGTCAGATCAGTCTCACCCTCAGCCTGCGCAGGATGGCTGCCACACGGCTTTCCAGCTCGTCCCAGCGCCGGTTCACCTCCCAGGCCGTGCATCTCAGCTGGCCCGCTGAATCAGTGCGCTGCTCCTGGGCCAGCTGACGGTGCTGCTTGTTGAGCCTCTCCAGCTGGGCCAGTCTTTCTTGGACCTGTCTCTGGAGGGCCTGGAGGAGAAGGTGACCCATGAGGGATACTCACATTGCAGGACTGCAGTGGGAACCCAACCCTGCTTCATGCCAGCATTAGTGAGGCCCTGATTTGGGTAGGCAAACACTGATCCAGGATCAGTCCCAGACTACACACAGGTACCTCATTGATAATCACTTCTGCTAGAATATGGCATAACAATTCACAGAGCTGACTCCGGCTGGCTAATTTCAAAGCTCTTCCTTGCAGCAGAACATGAGTATCTCTAGCCCTGGCGCTTCACATCTCTGACCTCAAACTTCTTGAGCTCCTCCTTGGCGTTTGCGTAAGGGACGTCGACGGACTTGGGGTCGGCCGCGATGTGCTCAGCGGCCTTCAGCCAGTCGTCAAAGTGCGAATGATCGTCAAGGAAGCTGCACCAGAGCTGCCACGTGTCGTCAATCCTGCAACAGGAGTTATAATCACATTGGATTGTTTAGCTGGTCTTATCCAGAAACTTCCAGAATAATTAGTCATGCACGCATTGCAAGAATGTATGCAAAGCAGGGGCAGGGTGACCAAGTTTGGTCAGATCGCTGGCGTGAGATTTTCAATTTCAGAAAAGTCTGCACACACATGCACACGCATTTACATGTATGTCACAATTTTATTACCTTGTAAATAGTTTGCATGGTTTGCAAACTGCCCGACGCTTTTGATGTAGCTAGTTTTAGGTTTATCATGGAATATGCAGATTTTCCATGAGATTTCTCGCGTTAGTGTGAGCGTCCGAAAGCGCGAGTGTCACGCCAGATGCGTGTGAGCAGGTGACCCTGCTCAGGAAGAAGGAAAAGACAGATGAGCTTCTTCCTGGTCCTCATTCATCTGAACGAGGCCATGAATACCACTGGTCCTCTGGGTCTCCATTAAGCAGAAACAACAGAACAGATTCATTAGAGTCCGAGTAAGAAGATCCCAGAGGAGCAGCGCTGAGCTCAATGCTGAGGATCACTCTGCCCACAGGCAGGATCTCTATCTACAGGTCTCTGTAACTGTCACCACACCTTGGGGATGGAACATTAGGGAGATTCCATCACCTGTCTGGTGAGATGACTCACTTGTTGTTTTCAGATCTCAGAATAATTTTAATTAGTAATAATTATCTGCATTTGCAGATAAAGTGGGACAATCTCTACCTCTCGCCATTATTTGGTGTCTGGATTTGGTGTATACCATTAGTGATTTATTTACAATGATTTAATGTCGCTTCTCTGAGGTTGATCATCATGCTGAGTGTTTCCCTTAAGTTTTGGCAGCTTCATGTACTAAAAAAGGGACTAAAGCTCTTCATGTCTCTGTGGAATCTGGGCCTCAGGCTGTGCTGCAGAACCCACTTTGCCCTCCTCTCCAGGGACAGGGTGCAGATGTTCCTCCAGCGCTGCTCCAGACACCGTGCTACCTCCTGGAGGGACCTGCGCTCTGTCTCGGTGCCGCAGCCTTCGCTGTCCCCAAGCAGGCCCTCGCACGCCGTCAGCACGGAGGCCACGCCCTCGGCATGCTGCTCTATGTCTCGCTGAAGGTTCTGCACCACCCCAGAGAAGCACGTCCACGAGACGCGGCCGTGGAGACACACATGGATGGACAAGGACACAGAGAAACCATAAGTTACAGAGTAGGGATCAGTTAGCGGCTTGAAATGTCCAAAAACATGTCTAAAGCTGATTGCATGTGCACCTCCTGTACATATTCCCAGTGTAAGAACACGCGAAACAATCACGGCCGTACATATTCCCAGTGTACGAGCACGCGGAGCAAACACGGCGGTACATAATCCCAGTGTAAAAACACGCGGAGCAATCACGGTGGTACATATTCCCAGTGTATGAGCACGCGGAACAAACACGGCGGTACATATTCCCAGTGTAAGAACACGCGGAACAAACACGGCGGTACATATTCCCAGTGTAAGAACACGCGGAACAAACACGGCGGTACATATTCCCAGTGTACGAGCACGTGGAACAAACACGCCGGTACATATTCCCAGTGTACGAACACGTGGAACAAACATGCCGGTACATATTCCCAGTGTAAGAACACGCGGAACAAACACGCCGGTACATATTCCCAGTGTAAGAACACGCGGAACAAACACGCCAAGCACCTGCTGCTCAGCCAGCTTCCCCTGGATCTCGTCTTGGTGGCAGATGCTGTATGTCACCGGTGTGGCCAGTGTGGCCTCTGTGTGGGAGAGCCAGACTCGCAGGTGATTCATGTCCATGTCCAGCTGCCGCACTGCACTCAGCGTCTCCTTCAGCTGCCGCACCCTGCATGCACATGGGGGACAGTCACATGCAGCTGGGACATACACAGGGGGCAAGTCACATGGAACCGGATTTTACACGGAGGGCAAGTCATATGGAACCAGGACATACATGGAGGAAAATGTCATGTGAAACCAGGTCGTACATGAGGGGGGGGGGGGGGATGTCACATGTAACTGGAAACACAGAGGAGATGCACGTAAACACACTGCTCCATTAAATGCCAAAAACCTTCACAGCTTGAACTCATACCAAAGAACCTGCAGATCCGTACGCGGTTCTCCAAGCTGCCAGTACATCTGAGCTGCTCATAATGCTGTGAAACAGCCACTTTCACGAAACCTTTCACAAGCTGCCGGTTATGTTCTGCAAAACACCAGCACATCTGAAAATTCTGAATGGTATCAGACACAAACTGGCGAGTGTCCCCTTCTGAGTTTGGGAAAGACCCCCAGGTGGGTCTCACCAGTCACTACCAACCCCCCCCCCCCCCCCACCAGGGCTGTACTCTCGTGTCTCAGGTGACCTGTCTCTGTGCTTAAGGTCGCCGTAGTAACCAGGCTGGAAATAAAGAAGCTGACACTGTCTGCTGACAATAGGTGGCTGAGGTTTCCATGGTTACACGAACAACAGAGCTATAAAAAGCACAGCAGTAGGCTGTTAGGTTAAAGCTGGACCTTTTCAAACCTCAAGACAAGAGCTTAACACTGCATAGGCTGCACTCCAATAATGGCACCCGAAGTGCTCCTTGAATCCGTAACTAATCAGGAATCTGTCCATGTGGGTGGGAAAGGGTGAGGTCAGAGAAGGAGGCTCTGTCTGCTGGAGACACGGCCTTTACCAGGCAGCCAGGCTGCGGGGGAGTTAGCATCGGCAGGTAGCTTAGCAGGCAGCGGCAGAGAGCCGCAGGGGCCTGATTCGGCTCCTGAGATTAACCGTATACCTCATTTATGACGGGAGCATTAGTATATAAAGTTATTAATATCAACATCCTGTCATACTAAGGCTTCTTAAGAACCGTGTCATCTGCCAGCACCTTATTGGTCAATCAGATTACATAGGTTAAGCTATATTCATCATTTTAATGCAGATCTAAGTGTAAAACAGAGACTTGATGTAAATGAAATACTCCTCCATGGTCAGACAGGAAGTGAAGCGTCGAGTCTGTTCTCAGCTGGCCCTGGAGCAGGGCCACCATCGCCATGACCCAGAGTCCATCTCCTCCTCACTGGCTAACAGGATTACGAAGGGGCACCCTCATCAGATCATGGTGCACCCTCAAAAACAGGGATGTGCGGGCGCAGTCATAGCTGATTGGTTAATCATGACTAATGCAGCACCATGAGACCAATCACGGGTGACCCAGCTACGCAGGCGCAGTCATAGCTGATTGGTTAATCATGACTAATGCAGCACCATGAGACCAATCACGGGTGACCCAGCTACGCAGGCGCAGTCATAGATGATTGGTTAATCATGCGTAATGCAGCACCATGAGACCAATCACGGGTGACCCAGCTACGCAGGCGAAGTCGTAGCTGATTGGTTAATCATGACTAATACAGCACCAAGAGACCAATCACGGGTGACCCAGCTACGCAGGTGCAGTCATAGCTGATTGGTTAATCATGAGTAATGCAGCACCATGAGACCAATCACGGGTGACCCAGTCACGTAGGCGCAGTCGTAGTTGATTGGTTAATCATGCGTAATGCAGCACCAAGAGACCAATCACGGGTGACCCAGCCACACAGGCCTACTGCCAGCCTTGGCCAGATGGCTAATCTGAAGCTGTTTACAGTGGGCAGGCCTTTCACCCCAATGCCCAGCTTCCAGCACAGCTTGCTCCGTCTGGCTGAGGTCAGGGAGCAGTCGCTGGGAACCGTGACCGGGAACTGGTCACGGTCATTGGGGAGGGCCGCGGAACATTCTGCCAGGGATCAGGGACCCTGGGCAGGGTGGCGGCATGACTTAGAGCAAACAGGGAGAGTGACAGGGCTAGACTCGGTCAAATGGTTGGTTTCTGTAGCATTTCTACTCTCTTATCAATTTCTAAACTATATTACGGGCATTAAGCACCAAATAGTTCCCATTTTAGACAAAACAAAGATAAATGACTGGTCCTGAGCACTACTCCAACTGTTTAAGCAGGCAACAAAATAAGCTGAACCTGCTCACGGTCACTGACACTGTCAGAGTAAAACCTGTCTCATAAGCATCACTGCATTACAAGCTCTGAAGAAATAATCAAGGACAAATTCTCCACGCAAACGTTAAAGGATAAGTGATTGAACTGATAGAGAATCAGCAGTAGAGGGCTGAACAAATGACCAAATAATTAACTTACATTACAATATCTGCACAAATAAACTACTCAATTACCTCAAATGTGTACAGAATAACTGGCTGGAAGCATCATCATCCATTAGCAGAGCTGCACCACTATACATCACCGGAGTTCGAGGCCAGTAGTTTCAGGATGTTAGTTTATAGGCGGGAACAGAGCAGACTGAATGATAGCGGAATACACTGTGTTTGTTTAATGATGCCAATGAAGGTTAAAGAAAAAAACTGTAACTGGATGTATCTCAACAGAAAGGACGTCATATTAGCTGCCAGAACTACCAGAACATTCCCATAGCTTAGAGTACAGAGCAGTATCAGCCTTCAGTACCACCATCGCAAGCAGTGGTCCTGTAGAACCACCGGCAGAGCTGTCAGGTCACAGTGGCGCCCTCACCTGGCCTCGATGTGGTCAAACAGGCGCTGCCAGCGTGCATTCACATCGGCCATTTTGTCGCTGACCTCAGCGCCCCGGGTCTGGTCGCTGGCGCTGAGAAGCTGCTCACCCAGCCTGTTCAGATGGGTCTTGTTCTCACTGAAAAGGTTGATCTCCTCCATGAAGTCCTGGTCGGAAAGGAACAGGAGAATTGGTCTTCCCAGAGTAAGCGAGTTTCCCCTGACGCATACTACAGTAACAGCAACTGCAGTAGCTACAGTAATTACTCAATTAAAGAGAAATGACATGTGCATGGAGTGCATTTGGTTTATTATGTAGACACCATAAGCAGAGAGCAGAGAGATCCTACAGTCTGCATTGCTGGCTTCCAATCTGTACATTCAGCTCTGTTTGGGACCCCCCCACGCCCGGCTCTGTTTGGGACCCCCCCACGCCCGGCTCTGATTGGGACCCCCCCACGCCCGGTTCTGAGTGGGACTCCACACCCGACTCTGATTGGGACCCCCCCACGCCCGGTTCTGAGTGGGACCCCACGCCGGGCTCTGAGTGGGACCCCCCCACGCCCGGTTCTGAGTGGGACCCCACGCCCGGTTCTGAGAGTGACCCCCCCACGCCCGGTTCCGTATGGAACCCCATGCCCGGCTCTGATTGGGACCCCTCCACGCCCGGTTCTGATTGGGACCCCCCCACGCCCGGCTCTGATTGGGACCCCCCCACGCCCGGTTCTGATTGGGACCCCCCCACGTCCGGTTCTGATTGGGACCCCCCCACGTCCGGCTCCGTATGGAACCCCCCCATGCCCGGCTCTGATTGGGACCCCACACCCTACCTTCTTCAGCTTCTCCATCATGTCATCCATACTAATGTCGGCCCTGTGTGTCACTTTGCTCTCCATTTGCGACAGCCACTCGCAGAGCTCCTTGTTCTTCTTGTTGAAGATCACCCAGGCGCTCAGACGATCTGCAATCTCTTGCTTGCGCAGAGAAACCTGCAATGTCAGAGCAACACGTCCAAACTACTTCAAAGTTCAAAGTTCAGACATGGTCCATCACAAAACTGGGCAGCACCAACCACAGGGTGTACTGAAGTGAGAAGATTGTTGGGGATTAAAATGTCACTTCACAAACCTCATCCATCCATCCATTCATCTACCCATCCATCCATCCATCCATATTCCAACCACTAAATCTGCATCAGGTCATTGGGCCTGGAAGCCTATCCCAGGTAGCACAGGGCACAAGGCAGGGATGCCAGCCTATCACAGGGCACATGGCTGTGATGCCAGCCTATCACAGGGCACATACACACACCCATCCAATCATATGCCACAGGCATTCTAAGATACGAAATAGGCAAACTCCATGTCTGTGTGAGCAAACCAGAGACCCTAGAGGAAGCTCATAGGAGTCAGGGAGAACTCAAGAGCTACGTGTTCCCCCCCCACCCCCCATTCTCAGGGCCAGATTACGGAAGAGGACTGTTTTATAATGAGGTGTATCCCATTACTAATCATTTAAGTGCTACTGATGCTGAATATAGAGAGTGCCATTGTGATCTCCCAGCAGGCACTGGGGCACCTAGAAGCCCCCGCGATCGGCCAGATGGAACAGCCCACCTGTGACTCATTCATGCACCCTATCTGCCCCGCCTTTGCCTGCCTCCACTCACTGGATCTGAGTCTCTAGCTACGTACAGCAAGGTGAATAAAATGACAAAACTCAAGACTCAAGACTTCTTATGCTCAATGCTTCCATGTACACAATGTAGTGAAACACTGTTTCCCTTTGGCCCTAAATACAGATACAAAAAATAAATGTATAACATCAACAACACCAATACAACACAACATAAATATAAAAAGCATACCTTCGCACAGAGCTCCTCCCACTGGAGCTGCAGGTCCTCGGCTGCCCCGCCAGGGGGGGGCCCGTCTCTGGCCACCACGTACTGGGACAGCTCAGTCTTCATGGCCGCCAGCTCCGTCAGGCCGTGGGCCCAGTGCTGCAGAGCTTCCTCCAGCTCCTGCATCGTGCAGCAGAGTCACCTCAGTCCCGCACGGCCAACGCTCACATGCACACTCCCTCCCCCCTTTCTTTCATCTCCCGCCAGATTAGGGGACTGGGCAACACACTGGGACGGGGGTTGGGATAGGGTGAGGGGGATGGAAGAGGGAGGGGCAAGGGAAGAGCAACCAGCCAATGGTGGCCCAGAAGACACAACAATGACTGTCCAGCTCGCACTAACTACACTGCTGGCTTCCCAGTGGTGCCAGTTATGAACATGCTGCAGTGCGCGAGCTGCACAGTGCATGCAGCTGGTCAGGAGGAAAGCCAGTGCCAACCGCTCCCGTCGGCTATAGGCACAGACAGGAGAATTACAGGAGGATCATCCAACATCTTTAGGACACTTTATATTACACTCATACATATTTTACTACCTTTTCTAATAGTTTTCTTTTTAACAATCTATTTTATTATTCATCTAAACTTTTTCCCTTATAGTTTATATATATTTACGCACAGCAACGGAGCTCTTATATTTCGCTACCATTGCACTGGACAATTGTGCATGTGACGATTAAAGACCTTCAATCTTATTAAATGTCACTTCTAAGTTCTACACTTAACCCAAGTAGAGCTAGACACTGTAACTGAGAATAAGGGGAAGTACATTCCCTTGAGCACTTGGACCTTTCCGATAAGCACCTTGATGATCTTCTCTGTGAGCCGGATCTCCTCCAGACATTCAGGCAGCGGCTGTTTCAGTCTGTTCCTCACCTCCTCCAGCCGCTCTCCGCTATCGGCTAGCCTGGCCTTGTAGCGTTCCCAGTTCTGGGGAGAACATTCATAGAACGCGTGAGAACAGCATCACTGCCAGGGTCTCCGGCTGAGCACAGCACACAGGAATCTCTCCTCCTGAACCGCTGGCTTAGTGAGTCAAAATCCTTCGTTACGGACACAGGTCAGATCCAGCTATACGGGGACCACACACAGCGTACTGAGGAGCAAACGCTTGGCCACCTGCTCCATTAGAGATCGGGGATTGCATCACATCTGCCATGTCACTGCTGAGATGTTCCGATGTAGGTCAGTGTGATCAAAGCTGGATTCCCTACCCGAATCCCTCAGCTGTGTGTGAGCATCTCAGCATGACTGCATATAGGCACGGAGGCGCATGCATGTGTGTTTAAGTATCGGTGTTTGGACCTGAGGGTTCTGACTGCAAAGCAGGATCCATGACTTAAATAACGGTAAAGACTGTTGAACCTGTCAGAGCAAACAAGCACTTTGTTACCTTAGAGTCAATGAGGTCCCTTTGAGCAAGTGTCTGCCCTCATGACCTTTTCATGACCTTTCCCATGTACCTGCAGGATGGCCTCTGTGAGGGCCCTGCGCTTTCCCAGCAGGCTCTCCGTGCGCTCCCAGTCCTCCTGCAGCAGCCGCAGCTCCGTCTGCAGCTGCGCCTGGGTCTGTGCATCAGACGCAGAGCATAGCTGCCAGCCAATCTGCATGGTCTGCCTGTAGACAGTATGGCGGCGGCCCATGTGGTCCTCAGCATGCTGGACACGATGGGGACAGGGCATGAGTGGGGAGGGAGGGGGGGACGGAGAGACAGACAGACAGACAGACAGGCAGACAGACAGACAGACAGGCAAACCCTACCTTTAGGTCTTGCAGGGACCGTCGGAGCTCGCGCAGACTGCAGTGGGCGGGGCCAGCAGGGGGCAGGAGCGAGTCAGTCTGGCTCAGCAGTGTCCTCAGTTCATTCGTGCCGTGTATGTAGAGCTGCCAGTACCTCACTAAGGCCCTCAGCAGGGATCCATGCTGCTGCACCCTTACCAGCACAGAGTGCCAGCGCTCCCTCATGTGCGTCAGCTGGAGAGTGAGGTCACGCCTGTGGAACGATGGGTCATGTGACTCACGCTCACTCTCAGGTACCCTATGGTTTCCCAGCGAATGGCACACAAACACACAGACCTCCGAAACCATCCTCTGGAAACATATTTATCTACCATGACACGTCAATTAACACAAGCGGGCACAGGGCGACACGGCCATTAAAAACATGGTTCTCATTTGAGATACAAACCTTCTCGCAAAAGTTTCCATTGCCAATCACTCAATAATGAACTGAGACTCAGTTACAATCACAGTAACTTCGCCTTAAAAACACCCAAAAGCAGAAGAGTAGCTAAGTATCGATTCTTTATTTGTTTCCTTGAAGGCTGACAGCATATACTGTACAGTTCATTCCGCACCAGGTCTTACTATGAAAGTGCTGCTGAAATTGGGACCTACTTAACAGCAGTTTCGATAACCATGTTCCTACACTGATACACCATCTGCTGCCAATGAAATCACCCCTGAAGTGCCACAGTACTGACAGTATCCTGTTGGGTGCGGCAGCTACTCCAGCACCGGTGCTTGTCGATCTCTTACCTGGGCTCGACCTCCAGGCTCTCCAGCAGACACTGTCCCTCCTGAAGGATGGACCACAGAAGCTGGTCTCCCCTGGGAAGCTCCACCCGCAGCTTCTGTGGGGGACACTGATTATTACGGACACGGGAACTAGAGATTCCACCCATCACGTATAAACGGGATCTGCCCCACACTGAAAAATAAAATGCTGTGTCCCATTTTGAAACAATATGGGACATGATTTTGCCCAGTATTAAACCAAACAGGCACAACAGGAACCCGGGCCGCGGCAAGCCGATGTGGGGCCTTCGGAGGCCGTCGAGCCATCGGGGAGAGTCACTGGCTGCTTCTCAGGCCAGTGAGTGAGGCACAGTCGGACACGGTCGGTCCCCATCCGCACTGGTCTGGCTGATTTAGCATGTTGATTCAGTACTGAAGCTAGCTGGTGAAACTCAGCTCTCTGATTGGGCTGCATGTCAATCATCACCTCTAGTGGTGTCACTGTGTTCCAGCTCAATTTTTCACAATCGCCGTGAGCTGACTGTCTGTTAGCCTTGGTTGGTGCTAGTTTCTTGCTGTTGGCTTGGTGCGTGTCCAGCTTAATTAATTAACAACAAGGCAACAAACAATATGTTCTGAAGGAGGCAAGGAATACATACATATGCACGTCAGATGGGGCCAGGGGTGTGGTAAGAGCGGGCAGAGTATCACGGGGAGGGGGGCTACCTGGAGCACGGCGAGTTGCTCTCGCAGGGAGGGGGAGCAGTGGGGCTCCTCCCTGGCCAGACTGTCCTCCATGCTCTGCAGGAAGGCTGTCCAGCACTGGCAGAGAACCTGGAAGCTCTGCTGACCCACGGCGCCCTGCTGCAGCTCACTGAGAGACACGGGCATGAGAGACACGGGCATGACGACAGCCACAGTCAAATGCATGGCGAGAGGCACAGGCACGCAGACACACACGTGACAACAGCCACACACACGCATGAGAGACACACGCATGGCGAGAAGATGCTGTCAGTTTATCCGGAGCATCATGAGTTTTGCCACAGAACCATATTACCACGGTCTTCACTCACCACACCCCAAATACCCCAAAGGGCTTTTTAACTTTTTTTAAATGCCTTAAGGTTCAGGAGGTGTTACCCAGGTCCAGTACATTCATGCCCAGTAACAAATAACAGGACCTGCAGTCTGCGGCCCTGTGGAAAAGAGTGAACAGACATGTAAGATGTAACAGAAGAGCGCAGTTCCCCCACCTGTACGCCTGTGCCACCTGTGTGAAGGTCACAGCCCACTGCCTGTTGAGGGCTTGAAGTCTGTCACCAGCAGGGTCCCCCTGGGGCAGCATGTCACCCCTCCAGTTCAGGGCCTCCAGCTCAGGTCCTAAGGAGCCCAGGTCCTGCAGGACGCTCTGGAGCAGAGGAGCAGAGGAGCAGCCATTCACCACCACTGCAGAACCCGTAGCCTGACCCACAGTAACGGGCTGTAAAGCACCGCCAGTAAAGCGGGCCGCCGCTGAAATGCTTCTAGCAGATACTTTACTCCTGCTGAACAGCGGAATGACACTGGGTCGTGTTTAGATTCCCATGGACGGCTTTCTGGGACACTGCACATGGTTTGTGGGCATTGGGGGCTGCTGCCTGTTTGCAGGACGCTCCCGGGGGGGGGGGGGGGGTCACACGCATGAAGCCCCCACTCACCTGGGGGGCAGAGTCTGCGCCGCCGGCCAGGCTGCTCTGGCAGGAGCAGAGGTGCAGCTCCAGGGAGGCCAGACTGCTGGTGAACTTCTGCAGCTCCTCCAGCTCCTCCTGCACGTGCACACACACACACACACACACACACACAGACACAGACACACACACACACATACACACACACACATACACACACACACACACACACACACACACATAGACACACAGGTTTGTAATTATATCTTTGTGGGGACACTCCATTCATTTTTATGGGGTAAAGTCTAATCCCAACATGACGACCTTAACCCCGACCGAGAACTAACCTTAACCATAAGTAACCAAACGAAACATGCTCTCCAAGGGCCTGTACTATTATCACAGCTTCTGATTCTATTATCATAGCCTCCTGTTTAGTAGCCCCAGAAAGTTCTATACTTTGGAAAAAATATGCAGTCCAGCAATTCATACTCCCTACATGTACGCAAAACAAGCCACGATTGGACCTTCAGGACACTAACAAAACCAGTCATTGATAGATATTCTGAAATAAATATACTTCAGATCATATAACTAGCTATGGATACATCAGAAGGCGATTTTTTTTTATTTTCAACATTTTGTGGAAATGGCATCCCGAGGTTTACGAAGCTTTTACTTTTATTTCATATAATTTTCTTTATTCCTAGCCTTTTGCTCCTATTTTCAATATGTAAATCATTAAACCACTATTGACATGTTTCACGTATTCTGGATATTTTCAGGCTTGTAACAATGTCACCACAATATAATATGTACAGCAATGTTCTCCACACATGAGGAACCAGGCTGTTTTGACAAATTCATGAGTTTGATTAGGCTGTTATTAGTATTATGGGGATTTTTCTTGCATAGTTAATTACTTCTTACTAATGATCAGTCCTTACATTGTGCTATTATTTCATATCCCAAAAGAATATTTCTTTTAAGCTGCTATAAAAATAAACACCTAAAACTGTAAAAACAATTCAGAAATGTCAGCATCATGACCAAAATTTACTTGGGTTGAATATCACCAATTACAGCTCAAAGATCAGCATATGGACATGCCTGACCATCAATTACAGCTCAAAGATCAGCATATGGACATGCCTGACCGCCAATTACAGCTCAAAGATCAGCATATGGACATGCATGGCCGCCAATTACAGCTCAAAGATCAGCATATGGACATGCCTGACCGTCAATTACAGCTCAAAGATCAGCATATGGACATGCCTGACTGCCAATTACAGCTCAAAGATCATCATATGGACATGCATGGCCGCCAATTACAGCTCAAAGATCAGCATATGGACATGCATGACCGCCAATTACAGCTCAAAGATCAGCATATGGACATGCCTGACTGCCAATTACAGCTCAAAGATCAGCATATGGACATGCCTGAATGCTGGCATTGACCTCTTACCTGTAGGTGTCCCTCTCTCCTTGCGAGTGCCTCCCTTAGCTTGAGGAGTTCACATGACAACATCCAACCCTCTGATTGGATAAAGATGGCTGCTGGGACATTCATGTGGCCAGTGAGATGTTTGCTAGCTTCCATCACTTCCTCCATGCTTCTCTGCAAGACCTGCAGACTCTGCTGCTGCATCTGTCCAACATTTAGGTCATGAAGAAAGGCCTCTTTAAAACAATCCTTTTTAAAAACAGGTTTGTGTTCTAATAAATCCATCTGATACCATGTCAGAAACATTTTAACACTTTTACATTCTATTACATGTCTTGCTGATATCATTTTGGTACATTCTGACAGATGTAAATGTATAATAAATGACAGCTTAGTATAATTATTGAAATGCACTGAGTGTAGCTGTATGAGGTGCCGCTGTGTGTCAGTGTGCGCGTTAGCATGTAGCCCCTCGCAGCATCCTTGGCCCTGATGCGCGTCAGTGTGCGCGTTAGCATGTAGCCCCTCGCAGCATCCTTGGCCCTGATGCGCGTCAGTGTGCGCGTTAGCATGTAGCCCCTCGCAGCATCCTTGGCCCTGATGCGCGTCAGTGTGCGCGTTAGCATGTAGCCCCTCGCAGCATCCTTGGCGCTGGGCCTCGGCCTTCGCAATGGACTCACCTTACTGGCTTCCAGTCGTTTTACGACTTGCTCAGCAGTGTGCTGACTTCCAGGCCTGGCTGCCAGCAGGAAGCTGGCCTGTTCCTGGTGGACCTGCAGACTCTGCCAGCAGCTCATGAAGGCCCTGCTGTACCTTCTCCAGAGGCCCAGCAGCTCCTGGGCCCGAGGCAGAGCGCCGCCCACCTCCTGGCTGACTGCTGCCCTGCTAAAAACGGGAAGCAAACAAAAACAGGCACCAGTGCTACACAAGACTTCATGGAGTTCAGCTGCAGACACACAGTGTCACACAACTGTCCAAACAGGAAGGGACAGACACTCTTTAAATGTATATTTGGTTATTATGTCATGTGATGGACATGTGAGACTGGGGGAGTCCCCTGCCCGGTGCCCTGTGTGTCTCACTGTGGCCATGTTACGGATAAGCATTTATGATGAAGGATGGATGGATGGATGGTTGGATGGATGGATGGTTGGATGGATGGATGGTTGGATGGATGGATGGATGGATGGATGGATGGTTGGATGGATGGATGGATGGTTGTTCATGCAGGTAATGTTTAATTGTGGTTGTTCTAAACTTTCACACCAGCCAACGAGGAGAGAACAGTCCTGTCTACTCAGGTACTGACCGAGCTTCCTGCTTCTCTATCTGCTCTGATAAGAGCTGAGCTGCAGCAGGACTGATAACGTCCCTCAGGTTGCAGAAGTTCTGGTTTAAAGCCTCCCATTTCTCTTCGGCGCCCCCTGCCTCGACCTGCAGGAGCTACAGGCAGAAATACACAGTCCAGCTCAGGAGCATTACAGTTTATATCCATATCAGCAGCTTCAATACGGATGTCAGGCATTCAGCAAACTTTCATAACCCAGGCAGTCCACAGAAAGGGACTCAACCTGCTCAGTCCATAAAAGCCAGTAGCAGCACGAACGACACACAGACTCACAGGTCTGAAAGAGATTTAAAATTGACAACACTATCCAATGAAATAAATCAATGAATTTAAAGACATCCGAAAATTGCATGCGTCTGGTCATTTTGTATATCGGAGTTTAACACTCAAGCCCATGAAGCTGACCGGAACCTGGCCGAGAGCACAGATACCTGTAGCTCATCCACGTGGTCCTGCAGTGCATGCTGGGAGAACTGGGCGTGAGTGCCCTGCTCCAGAGTGTACTGGCTCTTGGTGGTGTGGAGTGCTACCTCTGCTAGCCCCTTCGTTACCAGGCCCCAGAGATCCAGGGCCCACTGCAGCCTTGGGCGGAGAGCAGTGACCTGCAAAGACAGGAAGTGACAGAGGTGAACTATACTGCCCCCCAGAGGTGAAACACAATAACTGCGCTAAACTAAGAAACTTTGTCGTGGGATAAAACAGAGCCTAAGAAACTCAATTTCAGTCACAACTCAATTTTGAAAAATGTGGTTACGGTGTTTTGCCTTTAGTGTTAGGGTCTAGTGTTATAATGGTATAATGGACTGCATTTTATAGTAGTTATTTATTATTATTTATTTTACTGTGCTACTGATCTAGTATAGTATATTCATAGTTAATATGTATGAGGCATTGTGCTATAATACAACACAGTGTACTAAAGCAACATGACGTACAGGACAGAGTACGGTGCACTTTATCTTGTGATCATGCTCAGATAATACGCAGTGAATCTCTGACACTGCATTACGGGTGCAGTGAGCAATCAGAGCTGAGCACCCGGGGTATGTGAGGCACCTGCTGATGCAGATCTGCGCAGTCCCTGCTGAGCGTGTCCAGCTGCCCGCTGCATGCGCAGTCGGGACGCAGCTCCCCGTCTGTATCGCTCAGGCAGGCTTCTCTCAGCTCCTGAAGCTGGGTGTCCGTATCTTTCAGCTTCTCCTCTGTGTCCTGCGCCATGTTCACAGGCCAACATTTATGCACTTCGCAATGCGAACAGACCCGCAATAGCCAAGGTGGTGTGTGTCGGACAGGGGTGTGAGTGTGGACGCATACCCCACACTCCTGCAGCGCCTCCCTGGCCTGCCAGCGACTGGCAGGCCTCTCCGCCTGGCTCAGCTTCTCCTTCTGCCTGGACAGGCCTCTGCCCAGGACCCGCAGCCTCTCGTCTCTGGCCAGGCAGGTCTGGAGGTCCTTCTCCAATTGCTGGACCTGAGGAGCACCAGAGCATTTTCACGCTCGCTGTCACATCGCTGAATGAACCTGAGCTCAAAAGTCCAGCTACATTTATACCGAAATTAAGCTGCTCGCTGTTTCCTTTTGATGCCATACCTGCGTCACGTGCTTTAGACTAAAACTTCTGCTAAATAAATAGATGTGCATGTAAATGCAGAATGAGTTAAACGAAAAACTGTCTCAAACTAAGCTGAATTAGCATTAGTGTTCTGGGAAGAGCGTAAAGAGGACAGGCGGGCAGGCGGGCAGGCGGGTCCCAGGAGACAGATTTGTAGGTAAGCGGGACCCAGTTCATAATGAAACAGAGGAATGGGCTGCATATATATATATATATATAAAACCTTGGTAAACAGATCACTTTTAAACATGATTCTCATGTGCTCTACAGTTTTGTTCTTTTTATACCTGAAATATCTACCAGTGCAGTTCAGGTTAAGTATTCTCCCCAAAGAGAGCAATACTCTGGCTAAGCGTCAGTTGTTACAATCTGTTCTCACGACCTCTGTATTATCAGACAGTGCTCACCTGACTACACAGCGCCCCCTTCAGGTGGAGCCAGCGCAAGTTCAGGGCGCCAAGCTTCTCAGCATGCAGCGCGTGTTCATATCTTGAGGCTGGAAGGTCAGTGCCACTGGACTGTAACACTGACTGGTTGAGCGTGTCGACCGTAAGCTGGTGACATGCCATCTCAACCTGATACTCCTGTGGAAGAGAGACTAACATCAGCGGGAAGCAGACCTCCTGGATGGAAGCTGACATCATGTTGTGTGACACTGAGATGCCTTTGTATGACACTGGTCCAGTCGGCAGAGTTGGAACCTCAGACCCCAGGGCTGTGGCCTGCAGTTCAGCCCCAGGAGACCCCATGTCTTCCTACGTTAATGTCATGGGGGCTCTCAGTTCAGGGGAATTTCTCACCCTAAACTGTCCCTTGTCTGTATATTTGCCCAATATGTCCCTCAAATCCAATGTGTTGGGCGGCCATGACTAGTCAGTGCGGGATGTGACTGAATGATCGCGACACCTATGGGAATGAGTGAGTGAGCAGGCCGTAGGCCGTCTTGGGGACGCAGTCCCTCTGGACTTTGAGTACGGAATGTTAACTTACCGTTGAACATGTCCCTGATGACACGCATCACTTTTACTACATAGTTGACATTATTCACTTTACATGGGGTGGTCATTATGTCCTGACTCGTCATTGTATATTTGCGTAGACCTGCTATTATCTACAGTGAAGTAAATAGGTCACAGGGATGTGGACTTGATGCCCTCATTCTGCTCAAACTTGTCATGCCCCGGTCTGACGTCACATCCCAGGGACCTGACAGCTGTCACACCCAAAGCTATCCTCTAAGCCAGGGTTCCTCAAACCAGTCCTCGGGGCATCCCAGACGGTCCGTGTTTTTGCTCCCTCCCAATTCCCTGGGGGACACCGAGGACTGGTTTGAGAAACACTGCTCTAAGCATGCTAAGATCACAAGCAGTTACACTGCCATTAGTGAGCTCACTGCAGATGTTTCTGCATATTGGCTCCTTTAGTTTTGTACAGCTCTGACAGATTGTGACGGAACATAACAGATTGTGTCAGACCATGACAGATCGTGACGGAACGTGACAGATTATGTCAGATCGTGACAGATCGTGTCAGACCGTGACGGAACATGACAGATTGTGACAGAACGTGACAGATCGTGACATGCAGCATCATGACAGATTGTGACAGAACGTGACAGAACGTGACAGAATGTGACAGATCGGCTGAAACCTTGTGTCTCTGCAGCAGCGGCTGAAGCCCTGCAGCACTGCTGGCCTGACGGATCTCCTGATGATCTTCTTTCAGCCTCTTCTCCATTGCATCCATCCAGACTCCCAGCTCTGTCATGGCCTCCGAAGGTTGCAGCTTCTCCATCAACTGCTAAAAGTGGGGAAACAATATACTACCAGAAAACCTAATGCCTCCATACCTCACTGTTATTGTAGCACTGTCTTTATGTTCATTTTATACAGCTGTGGTGTAGTACCATATTGGTGTAGTACCATAATCCAACAATCCAGATCTTCCTCAGGATTTAGGAACACCCTTTCAAAGCCTTTCAAAAGTACTGAGCCAGTTCCCGAAGGTCACCTTCCCATTACCTCCCAGCCTGGTTCCTGGGAGGCATCTCCAATCTCTTCACTTGTATTATTTAATATCCACTGGATCGTTAGTAATCATACCATGTCACTGTATTTCCAAACACAGGCACACAGTGTTTATTTAGTTATGAAATGTTGTTTTATTTTTATTAGTTAAGCTGTAACTTCTAAAGATAAGCCTTTGGGAGTCGTGTTCTCCTTCCTTTATCTCGCTTTCTCTATCTTGCTTTTTCTCTTACTTCTTGACATGTTTCAGCTTTGGTCATTCAGCTCAGTTACTGCAACATGGGAGGTTTTCTGCTGTACAACAGCCAACAGCCTTGAAGGTCTGGCCAAGAACTTTAGATAACAGAACATCACGCATACACAGAGAGATGCTTCAGGATCTGACCGCAGCGTGAGTATCCAGAAACGAAACTTCATCAGTAATGCTGTCTACTGACGACTAAACCACTGTACTGGGTGACTTCAGACTTTCTAGTGAAATGTAATGAAATGAAATTAAATGACATGAAATTATGCTTTATTTTCCATTTGCACCAGTATGAGTTCAGGCACACTGGAATGCCTCTTATGGAATATCCCCTCTCACTGTCCTTAGAGACACGCATATTTATATTCAGCCGAGAGCAAAGCTTGGGCTCTGAGCTCAGGATCAGCCATTTAAATAGCCCCACTGGAGCATTTCAGGCAGTTAAGGGCCTCGCTCAAGGGCCCAATAAATATGCAACAAACCAGCATCCTTCAGATCATAGGCACAGAGGCCTAAGCCACTCAGCTACACAAGCTGGAGACGTGGAGGGTGTGGCCTAGCTGGGCCGTACCTGGTGCAGCCGCTCTTGGACAGAAGGCAGAGTGGACAGGATCTCGGCCCAGCCCTGCTCCAGCTGTGTCAGCTGTTCCCGCAGGGTGCCCGTGTCCCCGCACCTCTTCAGCTGCAGCAGCTGTTCACCCGTGCTGATCACAGAGGCCTTCAGCAAAGACCGGGCCTCCACCTCCTTGGTGAAGTCCTATATTAACAGAGCACAGCAGGGAGAAGTAGAATGCTTCAGACCAGAGTCACGACATACGGCGGATGAGTCACGACATATGGCGGATGAGTCACGACATACAGCGGGCGAGTCACGACATACGTGCACACTGACACATGGCTGAAGGGGAACATAGCTGTGGACTTAGGTGAGTCCCCCATCAGACGTCTGACATGTCCTGTGTTTGACATTATTCTAGTAAAATGTGTATCCCAGGTGTAATACCAGAGCAGCGTACAGCAATAAGACAGGGACACCAGCCCTGGCATGTGGCATCATCATTAAGGGCATAACCAAAAGGATTAGTAATAGTTTCATACTTATAACAAAGGTTCTTAATAACACGTTTATATGGCATGTATGTATGACATGTTGTGTTGGTTACTGGAAGTTTTAGGTGATTCCCAATCTCTTCATTTGTAAGAAATTAATCACGTGTCGTGAATGGTGGAATAATCTGCTGCACCACTTCCAATCAGATCCCTACTCCACCTTCAGGAAACAGCTAAAGACCCATCTGTTCCAGGAAATCCTCTACCGGCCTGGTAACACTCTATGCTCCCTGACCAGGAAACCCTCTACCGGCCTGGTAACACTCTGCTGTTCGCAATGTCACACTTGCTGCTCAGTAGAATATCCGCCTTATTAGGTTCTTGCTTTGTTTGGTAGATGCCGAGTAGCTCCAGCCCCAGTCCTGCTTACACTCGTACCCGGGCTTTCACTGGAACCTCAGCCTAGCCTCACTCATGCTGAGTCGCCCACTCGACAGCATTCGTGTTTGTAATGTTGTAATATTTATTAATTTGTGCTGAATATATAAATGTAAAGTGCTATTAAAAATGGCTGAATGTCAGCTTACTATCTCTGGCCTTAATTTAGAGATTCGATGCTAAATTCATAGATGTGCAAAGGTAACATCACTTATAGGCCAGTGGATCATAAGGAACCACAGATCAAAAAAACAGCGAAGACAGCAGATTCACCAGAAAGTTGGCGAGCTGCCGGCGGTCGTGCTCCTGCTGACGGGGCGTGGCGTCACAGCGCCTCCTCCAGGACTGCAGCTGCTCCCGCGCCCTGCCCAGCCAATCACCCAGCGCCACTGAGTCACTGCAGAACCTGCAGGGACGGGCGGGACAGTCAAGGGCTCTCAGTAAGAGTTTCATTGTGTGCTGCACATATGACAACATACTGCGCTAATCCTGAAGCTTCATTCTGCTTATTTCCTTTTATATTTTCCAATTTCCCACAAACATGCACTTTATTCTTTATACTGTATCATTAATTCACTGTCCATATACAGTGTGTACATATGTTTTGGCAACATTGTATAAATTTGTACACTAATGAAAGCTAACTGAATTACAGATCTTTGGGGGGGGGGGGGTGAAATATCCCTCCCATTCAGCTCTCCACCACACATTCTGCTCAGGGTCTCGGCCACCTGAGGCCGGGGACACAGAGGGGAGCCGTGTGGCTCAGCATGTGTCTCATGGACAGACGCACCTGGCCCACAGATGCGTGAAGGCAGAGACCCGCAGCTGCTCCCGCTCTGCGCAGCGGCGTACGGCGTTCCAGCGGCTCTGCAGCTCGCGCAGCGCAGCCCCCACGGTGCTGGCGAACCCCCCAGCCTGCAGCACCTGGCCCTGCTCCACGGCAGCCCCCAGCGGTGCCCGGCTCTCCTCCAGGGCCCTGCTCACCTGCTGCGGGGGGAAGACACACGATGGTATTAATAGGGTGTTGCTGGTAAACGGCAAGTATGCTCAGCCAATCAGCAGGCAGGAGCACAGGAATACAGACAGCGTATAAATGGAACAGCGGCATTGTTTATTTTTAGGGTTCTGTTCATCAGGCAATGTTTCTGTTTACACAGGTTCTACAGATGTGGGGCCAATGTGATGCACAGATGTTCCTCTACAGCTGTGGTGTCAGTGTGATGCACAGATGTTCCTCTACAGCTGTGGTGTCAATGTGATGCACAGATGTTCCTCTACAGCTGAGGTGTCAGTGTGACACAGTCTTCTCCAGCTGTGGTGTCAGTGTGACACAGTCTTCTCCGGCTGTGGTGTCAGTGTGACACAGTCTTCTCCAGCTGTGGTGTCAGTGTGACACAGTCTTCTCCAGCTGTGGTGTGATGACGTGGCAGTACCTCACAGATGCAAAGTGTCTGCTGCAGCTGCTCCTCCTGTTCCTCCTTTCCTGGCCCTGTACTCGAAGGCATCCTGGCCTCCAGGTCATTCAATAGTTTTGCTATCCAGCCACAACTCTCCTGCCACTGAGACCAAGCCTGAGGGAAGCACAGACAACATAAACGCACACAGTGTGAGCACAAAGAGTATTACACAGACAGCGCCAGTATGGACATTATAGGGACATACAGTGTGAGCTCAGACAGTGTGAGCACAGACGGCACAAGCATGGACAGCATGATCACAGACAGTGTGAGCACAGAGCACAAACAGTGTGATCACAGACAGCGTGAGCATAGACAGCATGAGCACAGTCAGCGTGAGCACAGACAGTGTGATCACAGACAGTGTGAGCACCAGTTTAATAATGTTTATTATTGTGGGCGAGTGGCAATTAAATTTGTGTAAACAGAGGTGTGACCATTGTACACATTTAAAACTGGATATAGACTAATGATGCAATGACAAATGACTAATAATTAATGCTCTTATAAAAATGAACATATATCTCTTTGAATAGTGGAAGTCATTTTCCCTGAATGTGTCATAGCTGTGTACTGGGGAGAGCATACGACTATGAGAATAATAAAAGTAATCAAAATCATAAGGCTCACTGAACATTAACTAAGCTGGCAAGACAAAACAAGTAAAATAAAATTGTATATAACCCAAATACAAGGAATATTTATAAAAATATGTAGAAAATGTACCTGATAAAATACCAGATCATTTTCCATCGCTAAAAAAATAACAGAAAACTGGTTCTTGGATGATTGCAGATTAAGGCTGAAGCACAGGCCTTTGTACCTGCAAGCCGTCCTGTAGCCACACTCCCTGCTGCACTGCCCTCTGCTGGAGAGTGCGAGCATCCTGCTCCAGCGCCGCCTGCGCTCGCGTCTGCGCTCCCGCCTGCGTCTGCGAGAGCTGCCGCACCATTGCCAAGTGGCACGCCAGCTTCTGGAAGAATGTCTGCCCCCCCCCCACCGGGCCCAAAAGGCAGACCGAGGGTCACTGACTTCACACTTAGAGAAACACACTAATAGCTGTGGGTCTGAACTTCACATACTTAGAATAATAACAGAATAATACTGCTCATTTTCACAGAGGGATATTCACTGCAGAATTATTCAATTAAAATTCATTAAAATGAAGCAGCAGTGCTGACTGAAGGTTTATTATGAATCGCTGAAATATATTTATTATTAAAGACTGCAGAATTTTTTATTCTTGCCAATTCAAGCAAAGCTGTTCATTTTGTTAGTATAAAGATATTCCTTGTGCCATTTGTTTCTTATCACATGACAAATCACAGCTGATGAGGTCATGTGTCACATGACTTGGTTAGACGGGGTACCTTGTGGCTGCTTAAGACAGCCTGCAGCTCGTCCTGACTGCGCAGCTGCACATGCTGACTGCGGATGAGTCTCTCCCAGCCCAGTTCCACCAAGCTGGTCAGTCCATGGAGTCTCTGCTCATACTGCAGCTGCTGTTCGAGCTGCTCCTGCAGCCCCCCCTGCTGGCTTTGCAGGGAGGTACAGGCAGTGTTCAGCAAGTCCTGCAGACAAACGGAAGCCCATAATTACAGACACATATAGCTGATATTCATTAAAACATTTTTTACTGAATACTTCAATTTTTGTCCCTCCACAGGCAACAAAACTGGCCACGAAACACAGGCATACAGCACTGTGCTGTGTATATATTCTGGTATTTATATATTGCTTATTTCTGTGCTGTGTATATACTTTTGCACAGTGACACTGTATATACACAGTGCAGCCTGGGAGTCATTCATCAGCACAGAGTGCAGTGTTCGGACAGCAGTCACTGTACCTCCAGCTGGACGGCCTCCTGTCTCAGTATGGCGGGCATGCTCCAGGTCACAGGCTGCACCGCCTTTCCAGACGCCAGGCCCTCCTGCAGGAACAGGTCACAACAAAGGTTGGCACTGCTCCATGGACAGCAGGAGATACTGAAATGCCTGTGCTGATGTTTGGTCTGCACAGTCTGCCGAGAAACTCTGAGAAATGTGTCACTTAAGTGATTAATGTGGCTAAGTGGGGCAGGCCTCATCTATGTCATTTAGTCTTTAAACAGACATGCATGTCTTAAATAAACAACAGTAAAGCAAGGCATGCCTGTCACTTTCTGGGATGAGCTTTCAGAAGATTCTTTGCTACTTAAGGAAAGTCTGAAATACCACATATATCGCTAGCTGATAGGAGAAGGTTTAGGATCCCTGGCTGTGATATATGCATGGAACAGTGATCACTGACTATGTTATATCCATAGATCGGTGAGCCCTGATTTTGATATATCCATGGATCAGTGAACTCTGCCTGTGATATATCCATAGATCAGTGAACCCCTGACTGTGATATATCCATACATCGGTGACCACTGCCTGTGATATATCCATAGATCGGTGAGCTCTACCTGTGATATATCCACAGATCAGTGAACTCTGCCTGTGATATATCCATGGATCAGTGATCCCCGACTGTGGTATGTCTGTGATATATCCATAGATCAATGATCCCTGGCTGTCGTATCTCCATGGATCAGTGAGCTCTGCCTGTGATATATCCATAGATCAGTGATCCCTGGCTGTGGTATCTCCATGGATCAGTGAGCTCTGCCTGTGATATACCCATAGATCAGTGATCCCTGGCTGTGGTATCTCCATGGATCAGTGAGCTCTGCCTGTGATATACCCATAGATCAGTGATCCCTGGCTGTGGTATCTCCATGGATCAG